CAGGGCGCCGCCAGGCTGGCCGCGCCACCGCCTTCCCCTGTCGGGGCTTGCAGCCCTTGGAGGTTGTTAAGCCATTTAACGCTGCGAGTTAAAGGTTAGGGTATTATTTTTTGTTTCCTTTGCGCTGCGGTTATCTTAGCGTTTCTCTGAGGCTTTTCCGCTAGACTTGCAGACGCTCACGTAAATACTGATCGTTTAGGTAGCGTGGTTTATGTTGACCCAGCACTGTTCAGTGTCTTGGGAAGATCCTGCTGTTGCGGAGTGTTTCTTCTTTCCAAAACCTTGAATTGCGTTCCAGGTAATTCACAAGCATCGTTAAAGCAGCAGATTGTACTTAGTGTTGCAGTTGCTGTGAGGCCAGTCTGTGCCTAAAACTGCTAAAATTGGTTATGGAAGCCATTTGGGGGGGCCCATTCTGCCAGTTGCTAGGCTTCAGTGTTTTATAGTTGAGCAAATCTTTGAATGTTTCTGAACATCGCTTCTGGATTTGCTTTCCGTGACAGCTTGCCAGAACTTTTTAGAATTAGAAGATATTTGTTTATATTTGTTAATGGATGTGTGTGTTTCTTTTCCTGCCTTGACCAAAAGACAGTAGACAAAACAGATAAGCAAGGGATGGTTTGTTAACACTTCTTCCACGTAGATAGGGCTACACAGAAACACGTAATATGTTGTCAGCTTGAGTAGTTTTGTTTAAAAAGATTGTTAGCCATTTGTATAGCATCCTTTTCATGGGGTTATTTTAGCTGTCAATAGCACACTTTTCTTTACTCCTTTTCTAGATGGCATCTGCTGAAATTAGTACTCCTGCGCCTATGAGGATGACTAGAAGAAGAACTAAATCAATTCGTAAGCCAGAGATAATTCAGGAATCTCAGTTTGAAGAGGTGGGACATGCAGAAACAGTGTCAGATGTCAGTGATAGCTTAGAGATGCAAATTACTAGGAAGGAGAACACAACTGTTCATTCAGCACAGTCAGTTGCTGAACCACAAGCTGATGGGGATGTGTCAGAAACAGAATCAAACTGCTCTGCTGCGTCTGTTCTTCAGACACCTTTGTTTGTAAGAGTAACAAGACGACGACAAATTGTAGTTCCTCAGCAACCAGATTCTCCTGACAAAATAAGACGTGACAAGGCAGTTTTTCTAAATAAGTTAAGCAGGATGCTGGATGAAGATGACATTTCTGAAGCCGAGTCTTGTTCCTCTGCTGTTTCTCGTGTCCAGATGCCTGATGTTACCAGAACTACAAGAAGCAGGCAAAGCAAAAAGAAATTGCGGCCAGATACAGTTCGTGAAGCCCAGAGTGAAGATATTTCTGATGCAGAGTCATGCTGCTTAAGTTCTCATATGGAACCATCTGTCACTACCAAACGAATTACTAGAAGCATGCAAATGAAATCACAAGCAGAAAATACTAAGCAGACCGAGAAAGGAAACAGAATTGTTTCAGAAGATGGGAATTTAATTGAGGACACTGTTAAATCTGAGCCGGTAATAATATCTGATTCTAGACCCGCTGCAGAACTTGTCTCTGCCACAGAAGATGCTTCCTCTGTCACTGAGGATAATAAAGAACCCAGTTCACCTAAAAGCAAATGTTCTTCCAGATCTGCCAATACAACCTGGAGTGAAGACGTCAAAGAAGAGGTTTTGAATGATGTGACACCCAGCAGTCTTACAAAAATGAAACAAAGCGACACTGAATCTCCGGGGAAAAAAGCAATAAAAAATACGCAGTCCGTTGGGGTAGATGATTTAGAGGAAGCATGTGGCCAAATACAAGAACAACACAGTAAAATACTTGTGAGGGAGGGGAAATTAGAGCATATGGATCTTTTTTTGACTGATTGCATGAGTCCCAAACAATTTTTAGAATCCCAAGGGCAAATGAAACCAAATGAAAGTAAAAAAATTCCGGAATGCAAAAGAGCAGATGCTGAGGCAGATGCACAGCAGTCTTTCACCCATGCTGATAAATTAAGAAAGGGTGAGCAAGCTAGTGCAGCGAGCAGCCCACAAAAAGACATAGCTGTTGCACAAAGAACAGATAGCGTTGGTGGATGCGGGATGCTTGAAATCGGTGTGGACGGTGGTGAAGACCAAATGGGAGAATATGCTGAATCTGTATCCCACAGCAGTGAAAGATCAAGCAGTGGAAATGATTCTGTTGCATTGTTTCTGAGCAAAGATGGAAGTGATGAATCTGAAAATAGCGATGTGGGAGACATAGATACAGTTGAAGAGAATCTGTGTTATGAAGAGGCAGATAAGAGGACTCCTTCCCTCAACAAATCTTTAAAAAACAGTCCACTGCATGCTGAAGGGCTTTTTGTAATTGATACTGAGCCTGGCATGAGTTCCAGCCAGAAGTATTATCTAGATCAGGTAGACCAGGATAACGATGCTGAAAGTAAGCATGAAGGAAGTGAAAAAGGTGAAGAATCCTCAGATCTGGAAGAGGCTGAAGAGGAATTGATAGATGAAGATGAGAAAGATGAAGATGATGATTTGTTGAAAAATAAGATTGACGTGTAAGTATCTTTTTGGGAATAACTAAAGAATCTGCATTTCATTCAAGCATATGCATAGGGTATGTACATTAAACGCTAAATGATGTG